GCTTTACAAGAAATGCTTAAGGGAGTTCTACACCTGGAAGCAAAAAGACAATAACTATCATCATGAAAACATGTGAAAGTATAAAACTCACTTTTAGGACAGATACACAAATGAGAAAGAGAAAACCTTAGCATTAGAGAAAACCACCAAACAGCAAAGAAACAGTAAGAGGGGAAGAAAGGAGTAAAGAATATATAAAACAATTAACAAAATGGTGAGATTAAGTCCTCACCTACAAATAATAACTTTGAATGTAAGTGGGTTGAACTCCCATATTAAAAGATGAAGACTTGCTGAATGGATTTAACAACTGACCAATTATATGCTACTATATATTACCAAAATCTCACCTCACCAGTAAAGACATACATAGACCAAAAGACAAGGGATAGAGAAAGATATTCAACAAAAATGAAAACCAAAAGCAAACAGAAGTTGCTTATACTTATGTCAGGTAAAATAGATTTTAAGACATTATATAAACAAATGAATATGGCCATACTGCAATAAAACTTTACAAACTCTGGTTACAGACTATATTTGGCCTGCAATTTCTTTTTTAAAAAAATTTTAATTTACTTTTATTATTTATTTATTTATTTTATTTCATTTTCTTCCATACATTCAATCACATTATTATTTGTCTTACAAAGTGGATATTTCAACAGGTGAACATTACTCCCTAGTATAGTTGATAAAACTACAAAATATATTCAACAGATAATACCACACATCTTTGTGCCATTCGGTAACATCTACCACAGATCCATGTCCCTCTCCAAAATGTGAATGTGATGTTGATCTGTCCCAACTTCTTCTGGGTGGTAGTGGTGGCAGAAGGGAAAGTAAAATGAGTTGTGATGACAGATAAAGACCTCCTTTTCCACAATGCTCTACCTACCAACAATCTCATGGAGAATGAATGAGATTAGTCCACTGTTAACAGTCTCAGGGAGCCTTAACTGCAGTATTGTTCAAGTATTAAAAATCATCAGTTGCAAAAGATGTCAGAAACAAATAAATACTTTTTCAGTTTTTTTGTTAATTAAAAATTAAATAGAAAAATATGCAATTTATATTCATGAAAAAATTTCAGCAAACTAGAATTAAAAAGAAATTGATTTAATTTTATAAAACTATTCACCACATTTCTCATTGGTGAAATCTGGAGACATTTCCTTCTGATATCGGGAATGAGAAATAGATGTACTGTATCACCAATTCTATTCAGCATTGTACTAGAGGCCCTAATCAGTACAGTAACACAAGAAAAGAAATAAAAGGTGAAATGATTAGAAAGGAAGAAATAAACTACCATTATGCACAGACTGTGTGATTTCTACAGAAAAAAATCTAATAAAAGCCACCACCTTTTATAATTAATAAAATAATTTATCATGCTTGGTAGACATAATACATACAATTAAAAACTGCTGCCTGATTGTGTATAACAACTACAGAAGACTGTAGTTTAAAAATAACCTTAAAATCTAAAATGTTTCTGCACTCTGACTACCTTACGAATGTCTGCGTTTTCCTGATATTTTATTATTATTATTACTACTTAATTTTTGCTATAGGGTCCATGCACTTTCTAGAAAGAGACAAGTTAGGATGGGGAAGAAAGAGAGAAAGATGGAGAAAAAGAGAAAGCACTACCCCCCAGGGGGGATGGCCACACTATGATTCTTTTTTCATTCTCCTCTTGGGATTTTGGGCATGCAAACACATGTGCCCAGCCTGGTTTTTTTCTTTTTTTTTTTAAATTTCTTTTCTTTCTTTCTTTTTTTGGGGAGAGGTTTTTGCCATAGGGCATATGTGCGCTCGCCAGACAGAGAGAGACAGAGAGACAGAAAGTGAGAAATCACCCCCCAGGGGGGATGGCCACGCTGCAATCCCTTCTCCTCCATTCTCCTCTCGGGATCCTGGGCACACATGCACATGCACCCGGTGTGAGTTTTAAGCCACCGGGTCTAGTACTTGAACCACGGTCGATTACATGGGAGTCCAGTGACATAGCCATTACACTAACTGCTAGTCCCTGCCCAACCTGTTTTTAAAGCCACCAGGTCTAGGACTTGAACTACAGAGCTGGCTATGTGGGATCTAGCTGCTTTACCCACTATACCACTGGGTGGCCCTTTCCTGATACTTTAACAACACCAAATACAATCATACACAGTTCACAATGAATAAGATTCATTTAGGAAAGACCCATGCTTAAACAACTGGTAAAGTAATATAAGCTATAACATTTCAAGTTAAAATAAAGTTCTTAAATAAAATGTTAAAGATGCTTATTTTAAACATAATTCCCCACTTTAAATTCATTTTCAATTTCTGCATGCTGAGTATGGAAGATAAGTGGAGTTTTATTATGGAATGAATTGTGTCTCCCCCACCCCCAAATTCTTATGTTGAAGTTCAAACTCTCAATATCTCAGAACATGAACTTATTTGGGTATAGGGTCATTGTTAAATAAAATGTTAAAGATGCTTATTTTAAACATAATTCCCCACTTTAAATTCATTTTCAATTTCTGCATGCTGAGTATGGAAGATAAGTGGAGTTTTATTATGGAATGAATTGTGTCTCCCCCACCCCCAAATTCTTATGTTGAAGTTCAAACTCTCAATATCTCAGAACATGAACTTATTTGGGTATAGGGTCATTGTAAATATAATTATTGGGTTAAGGAGAAGCCATACTGCAGTATGGTGGATTCCTAATCCAATATGACTGGCATTCTTATGAAAAGTGAAAATCTGAACACAGACATGCACATAAGAAGAATTCCAAGGCCTGGTTTCTCCTTGTTCTTTGCAGTAAAATATGAGAGGAGAGCAATCAATGAAAAAGGCAATCGTTAAACAAAAAGGAACTGGAACATGAAACTTGTACATGAAAATTCTCAGCCTATTCATATCACAAACAATGAGTAAGCTTGCTCTGGAGAGAGTACTAAATGTGTGGCTAGACAACCATTTTCTCAAGAGATTGATTACACTTGTTGGTTATGGCTCCAATCATCCACCAAAGCAGAAGTGTTGTCAGCTTAGAAGGAAGGGGACAGAGAACAGATGAAATGAAGAAAGGCTGTCAGCCTGTTGGGATTCTACAGGCAGGAAATGAGCAGACAGAGATAGCTGACTGCAAATAGCTGTTGTTCTTCATGAAAAGGAAAAAATGACCACGAAGTTGTGGTCCCCTCTTTAGTTCCAGAGATCAGAGCCAATCTTTTTTGCTCTGTCAGAAAAGTCATGATGGGAACCTTTCCCTTTCCGGGCTGTGTTGGGTCTGCTTGTGGGTTTTTTAAGACCTGAAAGTTGACAACTTCTTTGCATCCAGGAGGCTGCTCCCAGCGACTCTGCAGCTGTCACCATGCCACAAAACGAATATATTGAATTACATCATAAACCTATGGAAACTGTTTGGATTACCATGAGAAAAAGAGAAAGAAGTAAAGTCCAGAGGCTCATGAATGTTCAAAGAAGGCAAAAAAGATGATTGGTTTGAAGGCTAAGCTCTATCATAAACAGTGCCATGCTGAGAAAATACAAATGAAAGAGACTGTCAAGATGCATGAAAAGAGCAACACCAAACAGAAGAATGATGAAAAGACTCCACAAGGAGCAGTGCCTACCTATTGGACAGAGAAGGACAGTCCTGAGCTAAAGTACTTTCTGGTATGATTAAACAAAAACAGAAAGAGAAAGTGGGAAAATGGGAAGTCCCTCTACCCAAAGTTTGAGCCCAGGGAGAAACAGAAGTATTAAAAGTTATTAGAATAGGGGGACTGGCAGTTAGCATAATGGCTATGTCGCTGGACTCCTATGTAGTCAACCACGGTTTGAGTCCTGGACCCGGTGGCTTAAACTCATGCCAGGCATGTGTGTGTGCGTGCCCAAGATCCTGAGAGGAGAATGGAGGAGAAGGGATTGCGGCGTGGCCATCCTACCTAGGGGGTGATTTCTCACTTTCTATCTCTTTCTCTCTCTCTCTCTTTCTGGCAAGTGCACTCACCCTATAGCAAAAACCTCTCCAAAAAAACGAAAGTTATTAGAATAGGAATGAGAAAGAAGGAGGCATGGAAGAGGATGGTTATAAAAGTCTTCTTTGTTAAAGATGGCTTTACTAGAAAACCACCTAAATATGAAATATTCATTAGGCCAATGGGCTTACATTTCAAGAAGGCCCACACAACACATCTTGAACTGAAAGCCACTTTTGCCTGCTAATACTTAGTGTAAAGAAAAAACCCTCATCCCCACTATGTACAACTTTGGGTGTTACCACCAAAGGTACTGTCATTGAGGCAAACATGAGTGAGTTGGGCCTTGTGACACAAGGAGGCAAGGTTATTTGGGGGGAAATATGCCCAAGTTACCCACAATCCTGAAAATGATGGATGAACAAATGCTGTCTTACTGGTTTGACAGCAGTTGCATCCAAGTAACTCCTTGTAATTTTTGAAGATGATACACCAATCTGGAAAATCATCATGACTGATGTTTCTGAATATAGCTGGTCTTACATGTCTGTAGCCATCAAAAGATTATTTATTAAACTGTACAAAAACATTAAAGTGGTCCGGTTTTACAAAAAGAAAAAAAGAAAGAAAGAAAGGAAGGAAGGAAGAAAAGTCATGATGTATTTTCTATGCAAAAATGTATCATAGCTTTCCCAACAACTCAATATATCACCTAGGAGTTTAATTAAAGAGGTTTATGATAGGCTCAAAGTATGTAGAAAGCAAAAATAAGATGTCAGCTTTTGGGGACCTTGGTAAATGTCAGAGGCTGTGACCATTAGCCCAGTCTGCCCCCAAATTAATGACAGTAAAAGGAAAAAAAAAACCCCAAAATTATATCAATTTTCTTTTAAATTTACACCTTTAAGAATCAACACATATGAATTTTGAATAAAATGTACACAGTATTAATTATAACTATGATCACAGTACATTCAGGGATATACTATTAATTCTATGGCACCATACCTGAAATGTTTTTGTGGCTGACACACTTTCAGTTGCACCACTGTGGGGGACATACTTTATAACAGTAATTATCCCCTGAAATGCAATGCAGTTTTATTCCTTATACTGCAAATCTTTAATCTCCTTCCTCACCTCACTTATAGCTGTCAAGAGCAACTCAATTGCAAATTCCAAGGAAATTGTAAGTTTTAAAAACTGAAATGAATTATATTTGCAATATAATTTCACAATATGAAATTATAAACTTGCTACATTAAGTTAAATT